ATTTTAATGCTGGAGATAATTATTAGATACACTCAAACACAATTTAGACACTGTAGTATGGGAATAAAAACAAAAAAAATATTCTTTTTAAGCCTAGGTACGTAATAAATATTGAACAATTTGAGACACGTCAAAGAGCGAAACGGTGGCCTATTTGCAGGAAAAAAGAAAAGATTTTTCAGTCTTGAATAACTATGCTACAGTAAAATGTTTATTTTTTAAATTTAATACCACAATCCCTTCTTCTGCACCTATGGAACGGGTGTTTAGTAGCGGAAACCAAATTCTGACACCAAGAAGAAATAATTTAAGTGACAATACGTTCGAAATGTTGTTAATTTAAAAAAAATCATTAAACAATACATAAAAAAATACATAAACATGTTTTCAGTTATTTTATTCGCCAAAGCTTCAAAAAGTATCTGCTTTCTTGTATCTGTATCTAGATACATTTCGAAAAAATCGAAAACAATCTGTATTTTGATACTTTTATCTTCCATATATCTATATCTGTATCTAGATACTTTTAAAAGTATCTGTCCCCAACACTGTCTATGAGTCTTCTACTATGTACGCGTTTCTTCTCGTATGTAGTATGACTCATTGGCTGCGCGGATGTCGCGACGGGCCCAGAATGTGGTTGTAATTTTAGGCGAATATACAAAGTTTAGTATATTCGAAGTGGCCACAGTTACTGTAATAGGTGTTGAAATAGATCGTAACTGAGAAAAATTACTCATTTCTATTGATGGATAAAGTAATGGATGGTATAGTCAACAATATTCATTAAAGGAAGTTCTAATCGCTGCAAACGATGAACATTGTTTCACTCCGATTATCGAGAATAGGTATATTTAGTGTAGATTTCGTAAACTGAAAAATCAGCATGTGGCAGAATGTATGTTGTACCCAAAATAATGTCATCACAAGTATTTTTATGGAAAATATTTAATTTGGTTCTTAAACTACCAACATTATGAAAGTAAACATTGATTAAATTTGAGTCGACCGTAGAATTTAGTTTTTTATGAAGTAGTAGTTAAATAGTAGTAGTAAGGTACGGATGGTTGTTACATACGCCTTTCATGTATTTTGGTGTTAGATTTGTTTCACCTTTTGATTTCTTTATGTTTTGAATTTTTCACGTTGCATAGGAGTTGTTAGATTATTATTTAACTGGACATTACCAGTATTGAAACTTTTACCTCTACTTCTTTAGGTCCAAGGTATCATCGTATATTTACAATTTTTTTTTTTTGATGGTCTAGGAGGTTTTGAATTGTTAACAACTTTACCTAATTTAATTATGTATTTTCTTTACGTTGCGCTGTATGAAAGTCTCAAATCCTTGGTAATAATTTTAGAAATGAAGGTACTATCGTGTTGAATTCTCACGTTTGTTTCTCTAGATCTTGATTTCGAAAGATTATAGACGATTACATTTTTAGCCCTATTTAAACGATCTTGCAGTTCATTAGTTACAACATCTTCATTAAATATATTATTAGTTAACTGATCGTATCTCATCGTTAGTTGTTTTTACTTGTTGCAAATTTTTAATTACTTCGTCTAACTAAGGAATTAGGGCCCCAGCATCATCACACTTTTTGCAGAAAAAGCGAATCCTTTAATCGTTAATGCTCTATTTGTAATTTCACAGAGTGCCCTTTTCAAGGGTCAAGCCATCGTACTTACCACAAAACAGTAATTGATAATAGCATGTTTGCGTAAAACAGTTTCTTATGCAGTTTACCTTATGCTTACACTTATAATTTATAATTATAGTTATAAGCATAATTGTAACAGTTATGCTGACGGTTTAGGACCTTACATTGGCAAGCAGAACTGACTTTCTGACACGTAAATTAATTAATTTGGCACATTAATTATTTAGAAATTTTGGCAACTTGTGGCAATATAGAAGATGTTCAGAACTACTCAGTGTATCAGTTAATACAAAAAGAGTTTCTTTTTCAGTTGCGACATAATTCGAGTTCTAAATGACACTGATTGACATTGTAAAAAAATTCTGTTGTTGTCAATATAAGATGTAACGATTATGAGTGTTATAATTATAAGACATAAGTTATAACGGTAAGTGTAAGCATAAGAAAAAAATTATAAGAAAATGTTTTGCGCAAACACGCTAATGATAGCATTTTTTATGTCAATGAATTCACTATACACTCAATTTAAAAACGTAATATAGCTACGCAAAGTGCTAACATTACACTTATGCACAAAATAATGTACATTAAAATTTATTACTTATTATTACCGCTAAATATATCAAGAAAATAAACACAGCACTGAAACACATCCGACTCTTTTAAATTCTATAAATGAAGTATTTAAAATTTATGAAACAAAATTTTTGTCTAAAATATACTCCTATTGTTTACAAGCAAAATATTAAATACATCAAACAATTTTTTTGTTTAAATATAATATAAATTGTTTGAACGCTGAACTCTGGCAAACAAACAAAAGTGTAATTGGTATGTTGCTTTCTGCAAATTATTATACATATTTATGTATTTTAATACGTACATTTAGTAACACGCATTTTAAGAAATGAAATGTCATAAATTCTGACTAATGATTATGTAATAGTTATTTAAGCATTTACGTAGGGCTGCAACAGCGTTTTACCAGCTGAGGGTTGTTCCCGAAACTGGTCGCTATTAGGCCCGGGGTCCTTATTATGTCTTTCACACAATCGGACCTACGATGGAAGAACATCGGAACAATAAAAATTACAACTAATAGTGTATTGTATATCATGGAGGAAAACCACTTTCCCGTCGTGGTGGACACAGTATTTTTTATCCTACACCAGAAAGTAAAAATTAATAACATTAATTATTATTTGAAATAATAATATTAAATACTGGATTTTTTATTACAGTTATTAAAAAAAACACCTTTTGCTGCTAGGTTTGTTATTTTAGTTTTTTTTTAAAGTACATAAACGTTTCCATGGAAGTTCATTCATTTTCCTGGCTAGCGAGACAAAAAAAAAATCTTGGCAAGACAGTCAATCTTGCCCTTTCCCAGCCCTATTGAAGCAAGAAAATCTCATTTTTACTTGGTATAGAAAAAAAATTGTCGAAGGTTATCTCGACAGAACTTCCCTCGCCCTTCAGTAGAATAAAACATATAGCTTTTTAGAAACATTTTACAATTTGATTTTGCTACTTTTATTTTTTTATGAGAACCCCTATAAATTGAAATTAACATATGTAAATATGTGATGTTCAAGTCAATGTAAAGGACACGCGTGCTGCGTCTATGTTTCAAATGAGTTTTCGCTTAACAAAATTTTGTAATGGCATCCACAACATTTCTGCAAAGACACATATATCACTTTGGATAGGTGCAATGTAATGCTAATAGTAACAGTAACTAATTTTCGGGAAAATGCCATGATTACGATAAACCATCAATCGTTTTTTGACAATAATCCTTCCAGTAGTTTTGAAGATTATCTGTACAACACAAATCGACACAGTCGACAGAAGGACGCAAACATGAAACCCACTTTTTTATATTCTATTTGTCATAAAACGTCGAGAAAACAGGAGCGTAGTCTTCAAGTGCACCCTATTCCTATAATAATAATTTAAAAGTCAAGTGGTTTTATTGCTCTTACAGAATGGACCAAGAAATATATGACAAACTTTCCACTGTACGTTTCATTCACACAAACTTTGTTTTATTTAATTTTTCAAACACTATCACTTTATCTGTGTCATAGTTGACGTTTAATTTAATTTGTATATTTTTTATTAAGGGATCAATTCTGTTCTCACTATATTTCGATAACTGAAAACTGTTAACACCTAAATAATTTATGCAATATTAAACCAAACGGATGGACGGATGGACGGACGGACAGACAGACAGACAGACAGACAGACAGACAGAAAGACGGGAACAGGATAACACGGGAACGGGAGACCCCTTGTTTCGTACTCTAGAAGTCATGAAAACATCGAACTGGCAAGTTGCACAATGGATTTGACTACTATATTACCTTAGCTTACGCTTGGTACATACCTAATACGATTTTTTTCAATAGCTTAAAAATTGTTTTAAAAAGTACTTTGACGTGTATGAGATAAGAATTTCTTCTACTTTGTTTCAAATGACTTAGGTAGAATGCAAATCGAAGCTACAAGGTTTAATACTCGTCACTCCTGTCAGTGTCAGTGTTCGTCTGTTTTAGGGCTGTTGTAAGTAATTCAATATTTAGGAAATTTGAATAATAATTTACGTTTAACGTACATACCAAGTAAAATGCTCACCATATACCTAATCGGTGCGAGCAGCGCAATTAAACTTTTCGTTGGAAGGATTAGTCTTCAGGTGACTAACTGTACTTTGCAAAAAGGGGTCAGTCTTTCTTTCAAATTCACGCATTTCCAGCCACGTTCATACGATGCATTAGTTAAAAAATCATGCTATCACAAAGTACTACAACACTAAATGTTAATGTATATAACGTTCATTCAGGGTTAATTACTTAAACTTCAACCCCCACTAGCGAGACATGAGTCTATAGGCAACTTGAAGGTTACCCATAGTCTCTTGTGATCACATAGGTCTTCGAAAATGAATTAAAGATTATTTACAATATAGTTAACGGACACAAGCCGTCCACAGACCTGGATTTGTTAAATGAGCAATTATTATCAATCAATTCGTGAATATATTGGTGAGTGCAACTAAAACAGTTGCTTTTTTTATTGAACATACATAAATGTATATAGTTTTCTGAAGAACAGGTAAGTTTAAACCATAAATGCTTTATTTGGTATATTCTTTATCACATAATGTATCTTCTGTAAGGAGTAGTTTTGGAGTCCATCAACTTGATAGAAATTTATTTATGCATCTTCGATTTTTAAGAGACTGACAACTATTACACAATGTTTTACTAACTTAACTTTTCAGTTCATTAGATTTCAGACAACGTAGTTATTAGAAAACATACTTACTGTGGTTATGAAGTGGTAACGCAGAAGTTAAAGATGGCAACGAGTAACTTCCAATATCTGGTTCTGATTTAATTTTTTGTACACTGGATAGTAAATCCTGAAACAAAGTACCATTAAGAATTACTATGAACGGGTGTTGTTCTACACAGAAAATTGCATACTAGTTGTCTTTTTTTAACTAGAAGAAGTACGAAGTACTGGATTTTGATCAAATCACAGAGTGTTATTTGAAAACTATATATTAAGGTACACGCCTGAGTAGTTCGGAGATTATGTGTCTAAAAAATCGCCAACCGGTAAACAATAGACAGGTAGAAATACTTAGAAGGCCGACATTTTCACATTGTATGTATAAGCCGTAAAACGTGGACAAAACATGAAATTAACTCAGCTTACGCTCGGATATTAAAATTAGGTGTGGATTATTAAACAACTGGAAAAAGAACGCATGCTGTGCTGTATATTTCGAGTGACATTTTCGTGTTTTTTTTTAATGATCTCCATCAGTTTTAGGAAAAAAATATACGTATTTGTTTATCCCCAAAAAAATTGATGACATCATCTCAAAATTTTGCCGAATAAATTCTACCCAAAATGTGCAAAATATGGTGAATTTTTACTTGTAATCATTGCATTCGTATTTTTTAGATTTGCTTAAACAAGTGGATCAAAAAAATTAATGAATGGGTCAATTTATTTTATTGATTAAATCAGGAACGGCTTACTCCATTTACTTCAAAAATTTGGGAATACCGTAGTGTTGTTATTAGTATTACAATGCATCTGCCCAAATCGAGATACGCGTCCTTGCAAAAATGTTAATGACTTCATCACAAAATTTTGTAAAGGGAAAACTCACTTTAAACATACGAGTAGCACGCTTGTTTACATTTGCTTTAACATTACATACAAATCTTAATTTAACTCCTAGGGGGGGTTCCCTTAAAAAATAAAATTCACAAATTCAAATAATTTTTTGAAGAAGTTGCAAGATCTTTTATTATGCTTCAGGGGCTAGCGAAGTTCTGTCAAAGTAACCTACGACCAATTATTGTCAATAATATCATGCAAGAATTTCAGGCGTAAACGAAACAGGAAAATGTTTCTTTTGTTTAAACTTAACAAAAGAGTGAAGTACTTCAAAATACACTAACCGGCAAAAAACGACCATCCTCGATCAGAACGACAATTTGAGGAACGTCTGTAAGAGTTAACGGCATTGTTTTCGCGTGAAAACGTTTATTAACTGCCAAACTTATAATCATATGATGAAAAACACTGTTTATAACAACAGCCTTCTTTATTGTTTCAATTAAAAAAATATCGTACTTGGTCTGTTTTTGTTATTTTGTTAAATTAAATTTAAATCTGTGTTTATGTCTTCCTTTTATGCTAATTTGTACAACATGTGTCCATAGTGAATGGTTCTTTAATAAAATAACAAGCACTAGTTAAATTAATAATAAGTGGTTTTGCGAAATTTTTCAGGAGGCCGGTTTTTTTTGCCGGTCAGTGTAGAATTTTTATGGGGAGGATTCGGCGATTAACACACTACAACAAATATTAATTTATTTTAATTAAGAAATATAAAAGAAAAAGTGGAAACATATTACATCGCACCATTTACCTTAATGAGTCATGTTGTATGTTTCCTGTGTTAAACGACATTTATTTGCCTCTGCCTATTTGTAACAGTCCAATGTATTACTCTCACAAACGATGTTCACACTCCCAGTAATATTAACATACACGACTGTGCTGGAAAACTAATAGTCTGCCAAACATTTTGCATTTTCGATGTATATCTTAGTTTTTCTGGCCTGAAGAATACCTATTTTGCCAAGTAAACAATTCCCATCTATCACATAATAAATGATATTGGATGATAACAAGAAATTTGAAACTGAATGGAACTATTTGATTAAAAATATCCAATAATGATAGTGAGAATCTGAAACGGTATTAATAACCGTATTTAAATATGTATTACATTTATTTATAATATAAACCTTAACTCTAAATAAAACAATCTAACCACAACAAGATATAAAACGTATTCATAAAGCAAAACTTTGTTTTCATAAACGTCAAGCTGTTTCCCAAACAACTTCATTCCATTAATTTAGTAAGACAGCAAATTTGATCATGCAAACAATATGAATCCAATTTATAAATTTGTGTATTACAACACAAAATTCGCATAACGTTACCATTGTATAAACGTATTCAAGTTTCCGGAAATGCTTTAAGAATCCTTTCTTGAATGGTGTGTGAGTAGTGTGATATTGGCTATTATATCGGATTGGCGATCATTTCAGTTGCGTTACACGGTATAGTGCTTCTTGATTACTTACGGGGTGGTCCGGAGACCTGGCGGGACATCTAGATACGCGGCCCAATAAATTCAATGAGCAGAACATCAAGCAATGAGGTTTAAATTAAGCTGAAGAACACACAAAGAAAATTTACGTCCTTTTCACAACCCAATAAAGAAAATAACACAGATGTAACTAAATAATATTTTTTATTTTTGTAACAGCATACATATTTAAATGTGTTAACGTACCTACACATCTCTTTAAAATTAACGGCCACATGAAATATAATGCGGTAATATGTTGACACTTCGAACTTATGCGGCGAACTGCCGAAAAAATCCTTGTTAATTTGATTTGGACCTAACCCATGTTAACTTTTGTTAGGGTTCTAGTTTAATTTCCACTACCACTTTTTGCAGTAAATCATTAATTTGTGCTTTAAAAAATTAAAATTATTTTGATTAAGAAATGTTGGTACATCATCGAAGGTTTTGACTTATCACTTTAATTTGCCATTTTTGACAGCATAATTTTAATTTAGCTATTAAATACCTTTATGTTTGACTCAATCATAACGATGTCATTTATGACACTTCCAACTGTCCATAATCTACCACTTTATTGGATTGTAAAGTAATTTGGACTGCAACACAATTCATATGACAGTGACAACAGCAATGCCTATTAAAATTTATTAATGATTTTTAAATGGAGATGAAAAAGTTGCAAAAAAAAAACTTCTGTTGAGTCAAACATAAAGCTATGTATGTCACACGTAAATCCATAATGTTTTTTTATTGAACTCGCTTCGCTCGCTCGGCTATAAAAGGACGCGTCCAATAAATCTATGCATTATGTACTAGTAACATAAAGAGCACGGAGGTAGAAGAGAGTCTCTTCTACCGTCGTGATAAATAGTCATTATTGCAGTTTGTAGAAAAGAAACAGAATGATGGAATTCAAACATAAATGATGGAAATCAAAGAAAATTTCACTGAAATTGCGTTTTTGATGTCCACGATCCAGAAAACCTGTGTTTATAAATCTGTCAACAAATTTTTAAATTGTGCTCTTGCCGGGTATAGGACGATGTGGATATATGGTGGGCATGTTGCAGTTATAGAGCTCATCAAAATCAACAACTTTTCTTAATAGAGTTTTATTAGGAACTTTTTAATTATGAAGTTAAAAATTGTTAAAATTTTATCCCAATTACGGTTGCCCGGCCATGGATCCTCAGTCACCCATGAACACTAATAATTATAATTAATAATTTATGGTCAAAAACAGTTACTAGGATACGTATTTTCCTAATCTTATCAACATGACAAACATTTGGAGAGAAATTGAAAGTGCTGCTCCCTAATAAATAGCGTACGAAATTTCATCGGCCCAAATGTGAGTGTTGATTGCAACTTCCCTGATGTACTCGGTCTCATCAGTTGAAGTTGTATAAGAAATACAAAATTTGCTTGTTCGTTTATTGTTCTATTAGCCCACTCACAAAACTTTTGCCTACATGATAAGTCTGTTGGTTTCATAACTCAACTTTCTGGTCCTGAAAGGGGTAAAGTTGTTCTCTGAGTATATTTCAAATACTATTCTCCGATACATCACAGTGGACAGTGATGCGTGCTAGTACTCGGTCGAACTTCGACACTCTCCAAAACAGCCTCTTCAATATTAGCAATTCTATTACTAAGTACGTAACCTACCCAGATCCTGAGCTACAAGTTTAAAAGATCCGTACTTTCGAAACTGCTGTACAACGGTCTTAAAAGTGCGCACATTTGGCAGACGATTTGGGAGGCTTCCTGAAAAAATTCTTTGGGCGCGAGCGCCGTTTCCCCAAGCCTCACCGCAGGCTAAAACGATATCGGTGTATTCAAGATTTAAAAACAACGCCATTTCAACAAATTTCGTCTATAAATTAGCAATCTGTGGCAAACAAACTTCGAAGAGACGACGTTTAATAACATACACTTAACATAAAAATGATTGTCACTGGAAAAACGGTTGCTAGGATGCCTTCTTTATTGTAGTAGTGTTGTTATTATTTGAGGTAAACATAGACGGTTCGTGAATATATGGGTGGGAAAATTGTAATTTCGACTTGAGTTTTCGAAAAAACGCCATATAAAAAGTCGTTCCGTTTCACGAGTTCCGCTACTGGTTAAAATTAATGTATAGTGAACCAAGACCTATAAGGTTATATGGCCATCATAAAAGTAGTTGACCGCAAATAAATACCCCCTTTGTGTGGTTCGCACTAAGCTTACCGGTTGGCAATAAATCATCTTCTAAACATTTCTTGCTCATATTTAACAGGGCCGACTTTCAAAGCGAGTGGTTATTTCGGAACCCTCAGCGGCTGCAGGTAGTAAGGAAATGGTGGAGTGGTGGATTTTCATATTTAGTGAAAGCCGCCCCTGAACGAAACCACAAGAGCCGGTCGAGCTGCAATGGACACGTTATTTACGACCCTAAAACCTTTTCTATTGTAAACAACTTAACTTCGACACAATGGGATGATTTTATGATGGCCATATAACCTTATAACTCTTGGTTCACTATACTTATTTCTGAGGCACCCTGTATATAATTAAATTAAACTCAACAATTTATTTCTTACTAACTTGAATTTACACGACTATTACAACGATTGTGCACAAAATAATTTCGGCGCTTCTTCTCTAGATTTTTTCCACACTCGCTGATTGAATTTGACTGAATAATCCCTCATTCCCGACGGTGGCCTCTATTTAAATTCGTACTTCCT